ACACACACACACACACAGATCTCTCTCTCTCTCTCTCTCTCTCTTTCACACACACACACACACACACACACACAGATCTCTCTCTCCCTCTCTCTTTCACACACACACACACACACACACACAGAGATCTCTCTCTCTTTCTCTCTCTCACACACACACAGATCTCTCTCTCTTTCACACACACACACACACACAGATCTCTCTCTCTTTCTCTCTCTCTCTCTCACACGCCGATCATCGGGCGAGTGACGCGTTATTGACTCCATCGATTGATGTTTCCTTCTCTTGTGAATGATGCCTGTTAATTTCAAGGCTAAGAGATCAATATTAAAGAGCAAATGAGGAACAGAGCGACAGGACATCTGCTCTCATCCATTCACCTACTCAATCTGCCGAGGTCAGAGGTCAGAGGTCAGCACAGCGGCATATGGACACTGGTAAACATGAATCACAGCCGAACTCAACTGCCCTACAGGAAGGATCCGGTCACGGGAAACTAGCCCTCATCAGGGCTGAAAGTGAGTCAACGAGTGTTCAGGGATATAAAACACACTCGGACGCGAGTGATGCGCTTATAAGACACTTCAGACTCCCGCCTCGGCGAGTGCTCTCGGCTCTGTCTTAAAGGGACAGCAGCCTAATATTCCTGCTGTCGTCTGGGGCATTAATGTTCATCAATAATGCAGAGCCACGGATCAAATCCTTTTTCGGATCAGCAAAAATAAATGTATATATAATTTTTTTTGGTTGGGGGGGGGGGGGGGGGGTTACTTTAAAAAAACTTAAAAGTAATTTAAGTTTTATTACTTAAAGCTCACTTGAAGTTCTTCGATACCACATCAACAACAACTACTAGCCTGACTGATAAAGTTCAAGCATTATTAAAGACAAGTGGACAGTCAGTAGTAAAATAAGAACAAATACACAAATTACAAGCCGAGATGAAAACTAAATAACAACGTTACAAAGTCTAACAGTAGTATTCAGGGACAGAAATGAATAATCATGTAAAAAAACACTATTTGTTCGTTGTAGAAAGTGAATATAGCTTCATCTTTGTTAAAGCTGTATTGTGTTTTTATATTAACATTAATGCCCCAGAAGACAGCAGGAATATTAGGCTGCCGTCCCTTTAAGACCGAATGTACGGACACACATCCGGTGTGTTCACTGTTCCCTCATGACAGAGCCGAGAACTAAACTCTACAATGGTTACAGTTAGCAGTGGACTCAGACGCGCGGGCCGCCGGCCTGTACGGATCGACTGGGATCCGGTGCACTCCTATTAATAAAATAAAAACCATGTTGGAGACACCATCCCGTTGGAGAGTGAAGGGCACAGCGAGGAGAGCCGTCAGGAGGACGTGAGGAAGAACGCTTCAGGATGAGTGTGTGTAAAGTGTGAGCCTCTCTTGAGAACCAGACCAACACAGTTTATAAACATTTACAGCCAGTTCATTTCCTTAGTTCATCTACTATTGACAGTTCCTTCGGGACTGAAAGCTTAGCATGTCAACAGCGCTATACGATCATAACCCGATCATGCATCTCGAGCGTGAGATGCTCTCAAGGTTACAGCAAGATCCAGCAAGAGACGTGAAAAACAGCAAAAACCCAATTCCCAGTCCGGCAGAGAAACCTGAGCCGCTGCCATTAGCATTAGCTCTCGGATGCTGAGCGATTCTAGCCAGTATTCCCAAACGCATTCAGAAGTATGTGTCTGAGAGAACTCGCTCAGCACTCGAGTGTGTTTCTCTGTCCACAGCAGAGTCGGCCATCTTCTCCACATCTCTCCTGCAACCTCTCACTGCTGTCAGTCACACCAGTCCAGACGCATCAGAGCCGGATCAGAGCCGCATCAGAGCCGCATCAGAGCCGAAGGGTGGATCCGAAAAGCAGTCACGGATCCCGGCGCCGAGGGAGAGACTGTCAATCAAGAACATAGAAGCCCTACCAGTGCAAAACTATCAAGAACACGCGCGTTTATGTTCAAATCTCTTGGAAAGTCAAATTAACCTAGTTCTGCTTGTTTACTTTTTTCGTGGAAACCATTAACCTGTCTCACCACTCACCTGTCTCACTGCTGACCTGTCTCACCACTCACCTGTCTCACTGCTGACCTGTCTCACCATTATCCTGTCTCACCACTCACCTGTCTCACCATTATCCTGTCTCACCACTCACCTGTCTCACCATTATCCTGTCTTACCACTCACCTGTCTCACCATTATCCTGTCTCACCACTCACCTGTCTCACCATTATCCTGTCTCACCACTCACCTGTCTCACCATTATCCTGTCTCACCACTCACCTGTCTCACCATTATCCTGTCTTACCACTCACCTGTCTCACCATTATCCTGTCTTACCACTCACCTGTCTCACCATTATCCTGTCTCACCACTCATCTGTCTCACCATTATCCTGTCTCACCACTCACCTGTCTCACCATTATCCTGTCTCACCACTCACCTGTCTCACCATTATCCTGTCTCACCACTCACCTGTCTCACCATTATCCTGTCTCACCACTCACCTGTCTCACCATTATCCTGTCTTACCACTCACCTGTCTCACCATTATCCTGTCTCACCACTCACCTGTCTCACCATTATCCTGTCTCACCACTCACCTGTCTCACCATTATCCTGTCTCACCACTCACCTGTCTCACCATTATCCTGTCTCACCATTAACCTGTCTCACTGCTCACCTGTCTCGTAGCTGACCTGTCTTACCACTCACCTGTCTCACTGCTGACCTGTCTCACTACTCACCCGTCTCACCATTATCGTCTCACCATTATCCTGTCTCACCACTCACCTGTCTCACCATTATCCTGTCTCACCACTCACCTGTCTCGTAGCTGACCTGTCTTACCACTCACCTGTCTCACTGCTGACCTGTCTCACTACTCACCCGTCTCACCATTATCGTCTCACCATTATCCTGTCTCACCACTCACCTGTCTCACCATTATCCTGTCTCACTGCTGTCTTACCATTATCCTGTCTCACCACTCACTGCTGTCTCACCACTCACCTGTCTCATTGCTGACCTGTCTCCCTGCTGTCTCACCATTATTCTGTCTCACAGCTCAAGCACAGAACATGTTAGCAGGACAGTCAGGTTGTGTTATCAGCCTGAGAGATACTAACCACCGCAGGCGAGAGCTGTAACCTAAAAACCTTCACTAGAGCCTTCACACACACACACACACACATAGCATTTTAGAAAGATAAAACACTGCCTGCACATCTGAGCATTAAAATAAAGTAAAATACGTTTGGATCATAAAATCGGTGAAATGTTGCAGCAGAAGATGAAAACATGAGCTGTGGACCAGGAGAATTACACCGTCTGACTGGACATGAGAGATTACAGAAGGATGATCATTGAGGCTTAATACAGTGATATGAGCACAAACAATATCATTTCTACTGTTATTAAACCGCACCAATGCATGTATTCTGTGCGCACAGCTGCTCTCTAATGAGCTGTTGATAAAAAGAAGGCCGTGCTGCAAACAACGTTCAAAATCCATCAAAATATTGTACATGCAATATTAAGCCTTTTTTCCATTTTCTAAAGAGAAAAAACAGCACAATGCCATGGAGTGGTTTTCAGGGTGTTGCTAAGGTGCTCTAGGTGGTTGTCAGGGTGTTGCTAAGGTGCTCTGGGTGGTTGTCAGGGTGTTGCTAAGGTGCTCTGGGTGGTTGTCAGGGTGTTGCTAAGGTGCTCAGTCCAGGAATTATTCAATGTGCGTCTGTGGGATTTGTTCGCCTGTTTTATTGTCCACCATGTGAAAACTGTAAGTACAGTAAAGTAAAGTAACAGCACTTTCAGTGTTTCTAAAGCGATTCATCTATTTAAAAACAGACACTGTACACCTTTTCTCTTGATAAAGTCTATAAAAATAGTTATTTTGATATTCTTCTACACACTTTAGAAACCACAATGATTGACTGTATTTTCTGTGCATGCAAATAAACATAAGAATTTCATTTCTCAGTCTCAAAGGTTTAATGCAGAATAAAGTCGGTAAAACCCGACGCTGCTTGAAATGACGAACAGGAAGTGGGTATACAAGTTAAAAGTGCTATATAAATGAAGGTGACTTGACTTAGACAGCGGTTTATATCATCACACATCTGAGATCATGATGAGAGTCCTGTGAGATCTGTTCTGTGGATCAGAACCAGAACTACAGAACTACACCTTAGCAACACCCTGGCAACCACCCACACATTATTGTGCTGTTTTTTTTTTTCTTCAGCAAATGATAACAAACAATAAATAAAGAGTTCAATTCAGTCATTTTTACAAAAGCTCATTAAAACTGACTTCAAGAGCAGCGTTAGTGCAATTTAACAACAGTAGAAATGATATTCTTTGTGCAGGTAATATTTTGATCATCAGTGCCATTTATTTTATGTATTAACCAGACAATAATAATAATTTTAATCAGAATCGTGTGCGCGCACACAGGCTTTGTTAGCAGGAGTCCCTCAGTAATTTTCCTTCATATCTCACTCATATAGATCTGCCAATATCGCAGGTTCATCATCATCATCGCCAGAAAACACAGATCTCGCTTCCATTCTCCTCCTCCTTCCCACGGGATTCGCTGCTCTTCCTCTCAGTGCTCCAAATGTGGACCAGGAGAGAGAGAGAGAGAGAGAGAGAGAGAGAGAGAGAGAGAGAGAGAGAGAGAGAGAGAGAGAGAGAGAGAGAGAGAGAGAGAGAGAGAGAGGCGAAACCCGAACAAAGGCGCAAAGCGTCTGGATCCGCACGAGCCAAACCAGAGAATAACCACGATATTCCCTTTAATAAGCAATATTACACACACACACACGCACAGCACCAGCCCTGACCCGAACCCAGACTAACCAGCCGCCGAGCCCAGCGCTCCTCCGGTGTTCCGGTGTAATCCGAGCTCGTATACTCCTGTCGGATCCCGCACACTTTCCTCTCACGCATTCGCCAGTCACGCGCGTTTACCTGCGGGAAGGTGCCGCGCATCGGGACTCGAGCCTCATACTCCGCTCTCAGCAGAAACACGGATCTCCATTCCCAGAAGCCTCGCAGGATCTTCAGCTCGTTGATGTCATCGATGCTCGCGGGCACGAGCCTCTCCTCCTCGGTACCTTCCTCCTCCTCCTGCTCGTGCTCGCGCGCCCTCCTCGCAGCGGTGACGTCACGGAGAGCGCGTGCACGGCCGCTGAGCGCTCGGACTCCTGCAGAAACAATGGAGCGTCTCAGATGATGATGATGATGATGATCTTCCTCATGAAGAAAACGCTTTTACCTCATAATCAACACATCATGAGGAAAGATATCATGCAAATCGAAATGATCATGACAAAAAGTTGGAATAAGTGACGGACTTTTCGATTTAGTAGCCTTATGTCATCATTTCTTTGTCATGTCATAACTATGATTTAGAAAAGCATGATTTTGTGACAAATTGACAAAAATGACCCAGCTTTTTAAACAGGGAATTATGTTAACCTGTTCAATGTTAAATAACACTGTTTAAAACATGTTCTGTTCTATTCTCGTGGACAATCAACGCGATATTGTGTTTAAAGTTGGAAAAATGTCTATTTGAGCTTGAAGATCATTTCTCAGAGATGAACACAAATAACAAAGACTTTTCAATTTAGTATGTCATCATTTCTTTAGGCTATGCCATGCCATAAATATGATTTAGAAAAGCATGATTTTGTGACAAATTATTTAAACATAGGGAATTACAGCATGTATTTAAATAACAGTAAAAGCGGTTTAAAACATGTTCTGTTCTATTCTCGTGGACGAGGGACGCGATATTGTGTTTAAAGTTAGAACATGTGTAACTTGGTGCAAATGTCAGGTCGCAATAATAAAGAAGTTGATTTCTTACACTGGGTTTGAGCTTGGAGATTTCTCAGAGATGAACACAATAACAAAAGCTCTACTTCACCTCAGAATCACACAATAGACCCTGCTCCTGCGGGCGCGCGCCCTCTGCTGGCGGACGCGCGCGTGACGCCACTCGCGCTGGGCGCTGATGTCATAACGGGCTCTATTGTGTTACTACCCGATCTGAGGGGCACTAGTTTAACATTTATACATGTCAACTGAAAAGAACGTTTCCATGCATTTGGATTACACAGTTTTAACACATGCGAATGTGATGTGTGTCAGTCATACATAAATCACGAAACAGGCAAGATTTCTGTATTAGTACTTAATAAACTGAATGCGTTTTAAATTCACAATGACCAGGTTTAAACATTAATGATAAATCCAACTTTTTTTCAATTACGTACATTTCTAAAAACTGAATATTGTTTGTTCCACAGATTTCTGCACTCAAAAATCATGGTTTGCATCTGATAATCATCTCTTCATATTGCTTAAAATCAGCATAAATCTACTCGTAAAAACAAACTTGTTCAGGTAAAACTATGATCAAATGGCTAACTGTGAAACAAGCATTATTCAATCAGTTAAATGTATGTGATTGAAACAAAATGGATTTATTAATGATAAATATATAAACCTGTAATATTTAAAACACATTCAGTTTATCAGTACTTTTGCAGAAATCTGACTCGTTTCATTTATGCATGACTGATAAATATGCAATGCATTAAGTTTATTAGTTTAATGTTCAAACCCGTGTAATCCAAATGCATGGAAATTTGAAATATAATTTAAATACATAAATCTTAAATTTAGGCCTAAATATTTTTTAGAGTGACTCTGAGATACTGCAGCTTTACTACAGAATATAAGCTGACGTTATCAGTACAGAAGCACAAACCCCATCATGCCTAACCTTAACTAACCCGCTAAACTAACCTTAACTAACCCGCTTAACTAACATTAACTAACTCGCTTAACTAACCCGCTTAACATTAACTAACCCGCTTAACTAACAATAACTAAACTAACCCAATTAACTAACATTAACTAACCAGCTTAACTAACATTAACTAACCCGCTTAACATAAACTAACCCAATTAACTAACATTAACTAACCCGCTTAACTAACATTAACTAACCCGCTTAACTAACATTAACTAACCCGCTTAACATAAACTAACCCAATTAACTAACATTAACTAACCCGCTTAACTAACATTAACTAACCAGCTTAACATAAACTAACCCGCTTAACTAACCTGCTTAACTAACCCGCTGCATTACCAGATCACATGGGTAGTTAACTGGAGATCACATGTATAAACGCAGATTTCATGAATAATCACAAGTAACACAATGAATTTAACATGAACATTTGAAGCAGAAAAACAAATCGTTTAGTGTAAACTCCAGTACTGTTTTATTTACACCTTGTAAAACTCGTTTGTACAGCGCATGAAGATCATGAACCGTTCATCGTGAGATCCGTCTGGAGCGGAGATCGTTCTGCAATCGAGAAGGAAGAGAACGTCAGATGTAGACTCACAGGAATGAGGACTGAAGCCTGTGAATGTGGACATCATCATTGTTTCTGCAGTTAACACGGGCTTAAGAATAATATGGTTTTTATTACCATAAACATATTAAACATATACATGTTTATGTATATGTTTATCTCTGTAAAGCTGCTTTGAAACAATTCATTGTTAAAAGCGCTATATAAATGAAGATGACTTGACTTGACCATTTGGTAAAAACATGTTTTCAGTCTGTGGATCAGTTTCCACAGTGAAATGAAACTGTAGTTTAATGCAGTGTATTAACAGTGTGACGGGTTTTAAACACACACACACACACACACACACATATGGACCACTAACCCGTCACAGGGTCGATCTACTGAGAGTTATACATCATCTGAGAGATTAATAAATAAGCTTTTCATTGATGTGAGGTGTGTTAGGCCGAGTATATATTTCAGAATATTTGGCCGATACAACTATACGCACAACCGGCGCTACGTCATAGAATGTCTCTGAACAGATTCACGCCCACTTTTGGGGGAAATAAACTAGACTTCCCATAGACTTCAATACAAAATAGCGTCACAAAACAACGTCCGTACACAGCCGAAAGGCGTGAATAACTGAAGAAATCATTAAGATTAAACATGTCAAGTAATTATATGTCCACCCTGCCTGCCATAGAGCGTAAAAGATACATACACAAACTTAATTTGGTCAATTTAAAAACATGTCCCTTCATTCTCCCAGCGTCAAATTGGTGTAACAACCCCACCCAGTGGCCAGAGGTGTCTTTCTTTTACTGTCTATGGTCTTACCCTGACCTTTACTCGTGTCCTACTTCATCGAGTCACCATATGGTAAGCCAGTGGATGATTTTACTTCGTTTTTGAAAGTAAACGTCTTTAAATGTATATATTTTGTCTTATAATATATATATAACCTCACTGGGTGGGGTTGTTACACCAATTTGACGCTGTGAGAATAAACGGACATGTTTTTAAATTGACCAAATTAAGTTTGTGTATGTATCTTTTACGCTCTATGGCAGGCAGGGTGGACATATAATTACTTGACATGTTTTATATAAGTGATTTCTTCAGTTATTCACGCCTTTCGGCTGTGTACGGACGTTGGTTTTTGCCGTTATTTTGTATTGAAGTCTATGGGAAGTCTAGTTTATTTTCCCCCAAAAAGGGGCGGAGAGGAAATTGACAGTGACGTTCCCGGATGTGCCGGATGTGCGTATGGAAGATCTGGAGAAAAATCGAAACATTGAGAAAATCGTGCATTTATGATCGTGATTTGCTGCATTCGCTCACTACAATCAATTTGTATATATTTACGGTAGGAAATTTACTAAATATCTTCATGGAACATGATCTTTACTTAATATCCTAATGAATCTATAACCGTGACCCATGCAGTGTTGTTGCTATGGCCACAGATACACCTGAGTGACTCGAGACGGGTCAGCGGCACAGATGTGATGATATATATATGATGGGTCATCGTGTGCTACAGGTTTACAGGCACACACACTTCTACAGACGCCGGTCATTAACATCAGTGCTTCTGCTCCAGTGTGTGTGTGTGTGTGTGTGTGTGTAAAGACTGACCCGGTCTGACGGATCCGCTTACGGGACCGGGACCTGAAATAGACCCGCGACTCAGGGCTATTTATATCAGCGATCGGGTTTCTGGAGAATACATGACCGGCCTTCCACTATCCACTGGAGAGAACATAAAACAACACATTATTAACAGCGTTAGCATATTTCTGCTATAAAGGTTAGAGACTTTTACAAACGAAACAACAGAATTACACTGGGACACATGTTCAAATACAGGAGTCAACATTTAAAGTGGATCTAAAAAGTTCATCAAAGTTGTCCTAAGACAGGAACGGTATTGTTCAAAATTCATGTATAACTTTCGATCCACTTCAGATGTTGAGTAGTGTACATGCAAACGGTGTGTGTGAGTCCGACACGGTTCCGTCAGCAACCAGAGAAAACAAGCCTTTAGCGGCGGGACGACAACATTTCCTCAAAACACGGCAATAAAACACTACTAACCTTTGTTGCTTCAAAAGCTTCAGTTTCACCCCAGAATCAATATTACAAAATATCCAAACTGGGACTAAATTAGCAATTTGGCATTAAGGAGATGAGGCAGTGATGATGAAAACCTGTCAATCAAAGTCAGAATACATTAAAAGCACAAATAGCATGATGCGTACTTACTATTATAACTTACTTTTAAAAAACATCTTTTATTTTTCTGATTGTTCTTTTGCTGTAGTGATGAACGGTTAGATTCTTACATTCGTAAAGGGTTATTATTGTTAACTAAAACTAATAAAATACATTTAATATTATGGTTAATTTAAATAAAGCTAAAATAAAATGAAATAAAACATTAGTTGAAAACAGTGAGATCTTGGCTTGACAATAACTTAGCAAAAGCAATACAATTATTAACAGGAAATGAATAAAATTCACTAAAACTGCAATAAGAATAAGTAAACATGAATAGCAAAATAAACTAAACCTAAATACCGGTAGCAAGATTTTATTATTTATGAAATACTTAAAAACTATTAACTATTAGTAAAAAACTAATAAAATGACAAAAGCACATAACTCAATTACTAAAAGTTTAACAAAAATGTACACAAAAACTAAAAAAAAAGGTAATTAAAAATACAGCCGTCAACATTAAAAGTGGATCAAAACCGATATATATGAATTTTGAATAATAACGTTCCTGTCGACAACTTTGATGAACTTTTTTGATCCACTTCAAATGTTGACGACTGTATTAATGTAAATAAGACCACTATTACACTACTTGACAGTTCTTCGGTTTCGTGAACTCAACGTGTTTCATGAGACAAACTGAAACCCTGAACATGTCTTGACTGTAGGAATACCGTAACCCAGCGTAACCCAGCGTAACCCAGCGTAACCCAGCGTAACCCAGCGTAACCCAGCGTAACACAAGACATCGCAGGACAACAGACGAGCCGTCAGAAGAACACCTTGATGGGACACTTGAGTTTATTCAGGCATCGCCACACACCTTTAGTCTCGTAGTAAACCGTCTTAAATTAAACAAATCAGTTTCTGAAGTCTCTGGTTTTAAACAAAGGGTTAAACATTTTCAAAGTGCTTTCATTTGGGAGGCATTTACAACGACACAAAAACAGCCATTCCAAATCTTACCGAGAAGAAATAAACTTAAAGGCAATCAGAATAAGACTACGATGCACAAGAAGCTTCCCCCAAACCCTGCAGAGAAACACTAGCGCCAGCTCTGCCCCTCCAGCGCTCCTCCGCTCATAAACTGCATAGATATCAATGTAACGCCAGCAATTCATAAACAGCTGACGGGTGGATAAAGTGCAGAGTTAAATATATTACAGTCACTCCCCAGATGAAAGAAAACACTGTGCCAGTCATTCAATAAAAACATTAAAATCACACGTTAGAAAAGATGATGATGTAAGGCTAGTTTTGGCACCGAGTCCTTCAGGATCAGGATCGCCGACGGGAAGATGAACACGTCATGACATTACTGGAGTCTGATAGAAAACGTTTTGCTTTTGCATTTCAATTTGCATCGGACCCATTAAGCCCTGTCAATCAAAGAATAGCAACCAATCAGAGACCAGGGCTGGTGTCCGCGGCTCGTCCCAGCGCTATCTCTGACTCCGCGCGCTAACGCCGGGATTATTGCATGGATCGTGTGCGTAGTAGCGTGTGTGTCAGTGCAGCTCGATGAACGCCTCCATCTCCTCTGAGATCAGCCCTTTGTAGGGAAGTCTGTGTTTCTCGATGGCTCGCGCAGCTAGGCACTGTAGCGTGACGTAGCTTAGCGGGTGTAGTGCGTGTCGTCCGCTGCTCTGCTCGTCCAGCAGCTCGTACGCCGTCTTGTGCTGCGCGTTGGTGGCGTCGAAGTGAGCGCCGGCTCGGATTAGCGCCGCCATGATCTCGGGGCAGCCGTTAGCAGCGGATACGTGTAGTGGTGTGTTGTTCTCGCAGTCGCGTGAGTCAACGTCCGCCCCGCACTCTAGTAGCAGGCTAGCCACGGCTAGCGACGGGAAGCGCCCGACTGGGTAGCGCCCCACTGACGTGGTGTCCTTGTCCACGGCCATGTGCAGCGGTGTGTAGCCGCTCCGCGCGCGCGGGTTTAGCTTTAGCAGCCGGTACACGGTCTGCCGCTTGAGGTGCTCCTGCTCCGGAGCGCAGTCCAGCTTCTCCAGCAGGAACAGCAGGTGTAGGATGATGGACAGCGCTTTGGTGAACTGCGGTGCCTCCGGCGGACTGTCGCGCTGCGCTACTGCGCGCTCCACCTCGCGCACGCTCTTCCCTAGCACACCCATCAGGTCCTGGAAGGTGACGCGGGTGCACAGCGTGCCTTTAGCGCGGTCCTGCAGCACGAAGGAGAAGAGCTCGGCGAACGAGAGGAAGCTGCTAGCCGTCATCGGGCTAAGCGGGTCCAGGTTGCTCTGCTGCATGTCTAACGCGTACTTCCACAGGCTAATGCAGCGCTGGAAGTTCCCCGAGTCGGCGTAGACGGCGCCACGGTAGCGGATGTAGTAGGAGGTGTCCGGGTGCGACGGCCCGAGGATGCGCTCGCGGATTAGCAACGCTTGCATGCGCATCTCGTCCGGATCCGTGATTAGTGCCTCCAGCTCATCTGCAGTGCTAACCTCACGCGCACACTCGTACGCTGGCACCGGTGGCCCCGGAGCCGGTTTCGCCAAGTAGCCGCCCGCCTTCTCGCCCGCCGTCCGCAGCTCCATCGCTCTCCGCCAGTAGCGCATCGCGCCCAGCAGATCGCGCTTCTTGTCCACGAATGTGGCTCCGAGGAGCTCCAGCGCGTCGACGCGCTCCTCCCTGCTCGGCCGCGGCTGGTGCACCAGATACTCCACGATGTTGGTGTGTCCGGTGACGCTAGCGGCAAGCAGCGGAGTCATCCCGTAGCCATCACGCTCCATGCGCGCCTCGCACTTCAGGAGCATCTTCATGATCTCCAGGCTCCCGGACTCGGCACAGTCGTGCAGAGCCGTGTTGCCCTTCACGCTCTTGCGGTTGACGTCGGCTCCGCGCTCCAGGAGGAACTTAGCGATGTCTCTGTGGCCCTTGTAGCAGGAGATCATCAGGCAGGTGTGCCCGTGCCGGTTTGCCACCTCCATGTCAGCGTGGTGCTCCACCAGGTAGCGCACGATCTCCAGGTGCCCGTCGAAGCAGGCGGCCCGCAGCGGGGTGGAGTTGGTGAGGGTGGTGTTGTTGACGGAGGCCCCGTGACACAGTAAAGACTTCACCACCGGCAGGTGCCCGGCGGCCGACGCGGCCCACAGCGGCGGAGCGCCCTCGATCGTCTCACCGTCAAAGTTAACAGATCCCCCGATCTCCACGCCGGCCCTGCAGTGCTCCAGCAGATACTCCACCACCTCCAGGTGCCCGTAGCGCGCCGCGATGAGCAGTGGCGTGCCGCCCTGCGTCTTCTCCTCAGCCAGAGCCTCCAGCTCCTCCGCGCTCTTGTTGCTCAGCAACTTCTGGATGAGTTTCAGTTTTCCGTCTCTCGCCGCGTTAAACACGGCCGTGCTGATGTCCATCTTCTCGGCGCGAAAGTCCGTTAAAGCGCGTTTGAATTCGCGATCGCGTCGCTTCTTATTTAGTGAAGAGGGATCATCGCTCTGCATTTTGCTGCCATTTTAAGGCTGTTGTCGAAATGGCGTCGATGATGTTGTTTGACAGCTCTGTTTACCACTGCCGCTTGGAATGCTGGGTATCGTAGTCCGTATGCGCTGTTAGAGCACAGCGTGATCTGCGCAAAGAACTACAATTACACTTGTCATCCGTTAAGAGCGCCATTACGTCGACCGGAAAGCTTGTCGCGCAAAGACTTGTGGGAAATGTGGTCTGTAAACACGCGCACGCTCGTATCAGCTTGTGTCGTTGCGACTCGCGGTACTACATTCCCTATCATTCATTTGGTGAAACTCAGTCAGCTGATGTAAACGGAATGTATGAACAACTCGTCTGGCATGTATGAAGTCACTGCCTTCCTATGCTGTACCATAAACGACATTTTAAATATTTTAGTGTTTTAGAGACATAAGTGTTTGGAATTTAATGTCACACACACAACTGAATAAAGTGCTCCCTGGGTTAGTTCCGAGTTTGTTGTGGTTTAAGACGGTAAATGTACAGACTAAACGTATTTAAATTTGTTGTTTACTAATCTTTTATTTAATTCGTTATAAAGATTGTAAAACTGTGTAAAGTGAAGTGACGATCAGGTTTTCATGTTAAAGTCACGAATCAGAGATGTTTTCATGATACTGCCTGCTTTATTGTACTGACAATGAAGCCTTTAATGATTCGAAAAACACAAACACAAAAGTCAAGTCTTTATTTCTATAGCACTTTATACAGTACAGATGGTTTCAAAACAGCTTTATAAATAGAACATAACAGAAACAATGATGCAAACAGTTATTTTCCTGTTTAAACATAATTCAATTCAGCTGTAAAGCAGCTCAAACAGTCATTATTCAGTTTAAATAATTTCAGTGTTTATTTAGTTGGGTTCAATAACTGTAAATTGTAAAGTGAATCAATTATGGAACAAGTTCAAAACTATAAAGCAGTGATGTCATCATCAGCTTAGTTCAGCTCCAGTGCAGTTAGAATCAGATCCATAATATTACTGGATATTAAGTTAACTCAAAGAAACAATTTCAAATCAATATCTAAAACAGTCTCATTTAAATAAGATCTATATGGTGCATTAGGTGTGATGGTGCCTCAGGTGTGTCAGGTGTTCATGTGCGTCAGGTCACAGGTGTGATGGTGCCTCAGGTGTGATGGTGCCTCAGGTGTTCATGTGCGTCAGGTGTGATGGTGCATCAGGTGTGATGGTGCCTCAGGTGTGATGGTGCATCAGGTGTGATGGTGCATCAGGTGTTCATGTGCGTCAGGTGTTCATGTGCGTCAGGTGTGATGGTGCATCAGGTGTTCATGTGTGTCAGGTGTGATGGTGCATCAGGTGTGATGGTGCCTCAGGTGTGTCAGGTGTTCATGTGCGTCAGGTCACAGGTGTGATGGTGCCACAGGTGTGATGCAGCCTCAGGTGTTCATGTGTGTCAGGTGTTCATGTGCGTCAGGTGTGATGGTGCATCAGGTGTGATGGTGCCTCAGGTGTGATGGTGCCTCAGGTGTTCATGTGTGTCAGGTGTTCATGTGCGTCAGGTGTGATGGTGCCTCAGGTGTGATGGTGCCTCAGGTGTGATGGTGCATCAGGTGTTCATGTGCGTCAGGTGTGATTGTGCCTCAGGTGTGATGGTGACTCAGGTGTTCATGTGTGTCAGGTGTGATGGTGCATCAGGTGTGATGGTGCATCAGGTGTGATGGTGCATCAGGTGTGATGGTGCCTCAGGTGTTCATGTGTGTCAGGTGTGATGGTGCATCAGGTGTGATGGTGCCTCAGGTGTGATGGTGCCTCAGGTGTGATGGTGCCTCAGGTGTTCATGTGCATCAGGTGTTCATGTGCATCAGGTGTGATGGTGCATCAGGTGTTCAGTTCAGGTGTGTCAGGTGTGATGGTGCATCAGGTGTGATGGAGCGTCAGGTGTTCAGGAACGTCAGGTGTTCAGGTGTGATGGTGCCTCAGGTGTGATGGTGCGTTAGGTGTGATGGTGCCTCAGGTGTGATGGTGCCTCAGGTGTTCATGTGCGTCAGGTGTTCAGTTCAGGTGCCTCAGGTGTGATGGTGCCTCAGGTGTGATGGTGCCTCAGGTGTGATGGTGCCTCAGGTGTTCATGTGCGTCAGGTGTGATGGTGCATCAGGTGTGATGGTGCCTCAGGTGTGATGGTGCCTCAGGTGTTCATGTGTGTCAGGTGTTCATGTGCGTCAGGTGTGATGGTGCCTCAGGTGTGATGGTGCCTCAGGTGTGATGGTGCATCAGGTGTTCATGTGCGTCAGGTGTGATGGTGCCTCAGGTGTGATGGTGACTCAGGTGTTCATGTGTGTCAGGTGTGATGGTGCATCAGGTGTGATGGTGCATCAGGTGTTCATGTGTGTCAGGTGTGATGGTGCATCAGGTGTGATGGTGCCTCAGGTGTGATGGTGCCTCAGGTGTTCATGTGTGTCAGGTGTGATGGTGCATCAGGTGTGATGGTGCCTCAGGTGTGATGGTGCCTCAGGTGTTCATGTGTGTCAGGTGTTCATGTGCGTCAGGTGTGATGGTGCATCAGGTGTGATGGTGCATCAGGTGTGATGGTGCATCAGGTGTTTATGTGCGTCAGGTGTGATGGTGCATCAGGTGTGATGGTGCCTCAGGTGTGATGGTGCCTCAGGTGTTCATGTGTGTCAGGTGTTCATGTGCGTCAGGTGTGATGGTGCATCAGGTGTGATGGTGCCTCAGGTGTGATGGTGCATCAGGTGTGATGGTGCCTCAGGTGTTCATGTGCGTCAGGTGTGATGGTGACTCAGGTGTTCATGTGCGTCAGGTGTGATGGTGCCTCAGGTGTGATGGTGCATCAGGTGTGATGGTGCCTCAGGTGTGATGGTGCCTCAGGTGTTCATGTGCGTCAGGTGTGATGGTGACTCAGGTGTTCATGTGTGTCAGGTGTGATGGTGCATCAGGTGTGATCAGGGCCGGCGATTGCTATAGGCGAACTAGGCGGTTGCCTAGGGCGACAAATGTATTGGGGGCGCGGGCGCCCTCTAGTGTCGCCCCTGGCCTACTTCCCATTAATCATAGAATTAGAATGACAAGCGAAACAAAAACATGTTTATTAAACATGATCATCCTAAGGCGCCCCTTAGCCATACGTTTAATTACTTGTCAACCTGATTATTAGATTGAATGGATGATTATTGTCGATCATTTCCTAAAGGGGCGGCGGGGGTTAGTTGCGTTACGTTACGTTCTATGGTTACGTTAGGCGAGTGCTCAGCTGCTGGCGCTTGATCGAAAATAAAGCGGTCTAAACCCTCTGGTGCACAGGGACGAAAACCGAGAAAGCAACAAGATAAAAAGAAAGCCCAGTATAGAGGTAAGTCTTCTCATCTCATCCATTAAGGTGTCAAATGTTCTGGCCATCGGGACAACCGGGAGATTCCCGCGGGCCGACGTGCTTTTTGGGCCGATACATATCTCATACTTTTATTTTTCTATTTTTGTCTTAACGGCCCATAAAACTCGTACATCGGTGGCCCATTCGTTTTGTTTTGCTTAATTGGCGGCGCTGGGTTACTTACTTCCAAATATATAACTTACTTTCAAGAATAGACATTTGTAGCCTACAATACTCATGAAAGTTTCCTTTATTTTTCAGTGCATTTGTTTTACAATATAGCCTATGGCAATTACTGTCATGGGATTAATATTATATCTATTATTATGTAGTAGTGTAATGTAGACAGACACTGTAATTAAAAGAGGTTTGAATTTTTCTTTGTTCAATTTGCACACTGAATATGGGTTGGAGCTTTTAGTTTTGAACTCTCAAAGTGCACCAGATTGATGAATTTAACATTAAAATGCACAAAATTTTCTTACGGGGAAATACCCCCGAAACCACCTTAGCCTTGTAGCAGCCCAATAGATTGTAATAGAGGCCTAGTGGTGGTAGTAGTTGTAATTTATCTACTAAAAGTTATTTATGGTCAGATAAAATATAGTTGTACAATGCAACTATGATACTATGATATAAATATCCTTGAACGTTCTTTGTAGCATTTGTATGAACAATTTATTGTTTAAGTTTTTGAGTAACTATAAGAGCATGTTTAGTTCAATAAATACTTATAATGTTTTAAAGGGAGGGGGGGGGGGGGGGGGGCGCAAAACTCAATATCGCCTAGGGCAACCAAAGGGTTAGAGCCGGCCCTGGGTGTGATGGTGCATCAGGTGTGATGGTGCATCAGGTGTGATGGTGCATCAGGTGTTCATGTGTGTCAAGTGTGATGGTGCATCAGGTGTGATGGTGCCTCAGGTGTGATGGTGCCTCAGGTGTTCATGTGTGTCAGGTGTGATGGTGCATCAGGTGTGATGGTGCCTCAGGTGTGATGGTGCCTCAGGTGTTCATGTGTGTCAGGTGTGATGGTGCATCAGGTGTGATGGTGCCTCAGGTGTGATGGTGCCTCAGGTGTTCATGTGTGTCAGGTGTGATGGTGCATCAGGTGTGATGGAGCCTCAGGTGTGATGGTGCCTCAGGTGTGATGGTGCCTCAGGTGTTCATGTGTGTCAGGTGTTCATGTGCGTCAGGTGTGATGGTGCCTCAGGTGTGATGGTGCCTCAGGTGTGATGGTGCCTCAGGTGTGATGGTGCCTCAGGTGTTCATGTGTGTCAGGTGTGATGGTGCATCAGGTGTGATGGTGCCTCAGGTGTGATGGTGCCTCAGGTGTTCATGTGTGTCAGGTGTGATGGTGCATCAGGTGTGATGGTGCCTCAGGTGTGATGGTGCCTCAGGTGTGATGGTGCCTCAGGTGTGATGGTGCCTCAGGTGTTCATGTGTGTCAGGTGTTCATGTGCGTCAGGTGTGATGGTGCATCAGGTGTGATGGTGCCTCAGGTGTTCATGTGTGTCAGGTGTGATGGTGCATCAGGTGTGATGGTGCCTCAGGTGTGATGGTGCCTCAGGTGTTCATGTGTGTCAGGTGTTCATGTGCGTCAGGTGTGATGGTGCATCAGGTGTGATGGTGCGTCAGGTGTGATGGTGCCTCAGGTGTTCATGTGCGTCAGGTGTGATGGTGCATCAGGTGTGATGG